GTATCCCTGCAATTAATTATAGTCACTATATACAGTAGAATAAGATTTCTGTCTTCAAAAACTGACTTTCTTTTTAGTTCATGAACGTTTCCCAGCAGCCTCAGAGAGTGTGCCCATATTTAAGTTTGAAAAGTGTCTTCTCTGATATGGAGTTCTGATTCTCTAAATGGATCCCTTATTTTTTCTCTAGGTGAGTACCTGTGGTGTAAGAGAGATGCATAATTTCTCTGCAATTTTTATTGTAGCAAACCATCCATCACTAGTCACACTGGTTTCTTTTAGATTGAAGGTTTCGACTTGGAGGTATTTGAAGGGGAAAACAACAGCAGCCGCCCTGTCAAGGCCTATGCATTTCACTGTGCCGTAGGAGACGCAGTGCCCTAAATGGAAGGTACTGATTTGCTTTAGCACTTTGACTACATGAGTCTATGAGTTCGAATGACTTAGAGTAAAAGCCAAAACTCGGCAGGCATGAGGAAATCACCCACAACTCTGAAACAGTTGGACAGAGCTCAGAAAAAGTTTCATTCTCTGCCAGTAGAGCCTAGAACTGGGGCCTAATGCACCACACACCTCTGGAGAGCTGCTGAAGCGGGGCTCCTCAGACTGACAGGGGGGTAGGGTGGGGCAGGCAGAGAGAGAGAAATATAGTGGGTGTTCAGGGGTAAAACTGCTTCTTCTGAAGCTCTCTAGAGCCCTTAAGAAGTATCTCAAAGCAAGCTCATCTCCATAAATAACAGCACAAAGTCACAAGGTGATTTAAGAAACTTGGTGGATCTATGCCGGGTGGTGGTGGCGCATGCCCTTAATCCCAGCACTCCTGAGGCAGAGGTAGGCAGATCTTTGTGAGTTCGAGACCAGCCTGGTCTACAAGAGCTAGTCCAGGACAGGCTCCAAAGCTACAGAGAAACCCTGTCTCGAAAAACCAAAGAAAGAAAAAAGAAAAAGAAACTTGTTGGATCTAATTCTCTTAGCACACTGTGGGTAGGTGGGAACTTGTGATGAGCTAAGACCCAAGGGAAACATTAAAAAAAATGGTGTCCACTCAGGTCAAAAGAAGGGGTAAGATTCCCCTGGAAATTGAGTTACTGGCAGTTGTGAGCTGCCATGTGAATGCTGGGAATAAATCCTGTGTTCTTTTCAAGAAGGAAAAATGCCTTTAACCACTGAGCCATCTATACCATTCCTAAGCTAAGTATTTTTTTTAGACACTTGAATTTAACTGGTCTTTGACAGAAGGAAGAACATGAAGTCAAAAATCATGTTTTTATTCTCTGCTCCAACTTCCAAGAGGGCTTGGAAATTTGGCATGCCAATACCATTTGAAAAGAAAGAATTTGTTCTTGAAAGAACAGAAACACTGTTTGCCTTATGCACTGCACACAGGCTACAATTGTCCAAGGATATCAGGCAACTCTAAAACCTGGGAAGTACTGTCCACATGGAGTATGTCCACATGGAATTTTTCATTGTAACTGTACCCATGCGAGAATGTCCTTAACAGGAAATTTGGTCTGCTAACTGCTCGTTGCTGACAGCTCTGGGCAGGGCAAGTTCATCCAACACATTCTCAGTTTCCTGGGGAAAAGGAAGATAAGTGCCTTTCTCTCACAAATACAAAGTATTCCACATAATTTCAGCTATCATTGCAGTTTTCATAAATATTAGGTGAAATATGATTTAAAAGCATCTCTCTGAGTCTATATTATCCTGTTCATTGTTCACTGATGAGATAGCTATTTTCATAAATAATGGGCCCTTGTGATGTCTTCTCTTGATTGTCAGTCTGACAACATCTGGTGCCAACCCAAACCCAAGCATCAGGACATACATGAGAGGGATTTCTAGGTTAGATGATTTGTGCTCAGAAGACCCACGATGAATCTGGGCCACGCCTTCGGGTGTCACCCTACATACAAACACAGGGAGAGGGAAGCTTTTGCTTTTTGCCTGCTTTCCCTCACTCTCGCTGACGAGTTCATCTGTCCTTCTGCTGAGTCATTCCTAAAAGTGTTAGAACTTTCTTCTCCAAAAGTCCAATGTCAGCTAAAGTCTAGCTAGGGCATCCAGCCTCATGGACTGAACAAACACTCAATTCTTGGCTTTTCCACCAGGAGACAGCCATTACTGGCCTACTCACAGACTTTAAGCTAACCTTACAAACTGCCTCTCTCTGCAAGTGTGTGTATGTGTATACTATTATTTATCATTCTATCATTTCTTTTCCCTTCAAGAACTCTGACTAATACAGTCCTAATAATGCATCTGAAAACAATCTTGACTTAGAAACTTAAATGAACATTTATCATCATGCTTTTCTTATTTTCTGACTTTTATTAATATGGAGTCTATGTGGGGAGATGCCTCAGTAGATAAAGTGCTTGCTAAGAAAGCAAAGGGGCCTGAGTTTAGATATCTAAAACCCATTTTAAAAGATAGGGCATGGTTCCGTATACTGTAATCCCCATGTGGAGATCATAGACAGGTAGATTCCAGAGGCTCATTGGTTAGCTAGACCAGCCAAGATAGTGAGTGCCAGGTCCAGTGAGAGACCTTGCCTCAAAAATAAACGGACAGCGTTAGAGGGAGATACTCCAGAATCCCAGAATTAGTCTCTCTTGCTGATTTGCTGTCTCTTTTTTCCCCCTCCCCCATTGTCCCCATTGCTGTCTCTTTTTTAAGACACACACACACACACACACACACACACACACGTATCACACACACACGCCTATCTCAACAACTGCACCTTCTATTACTCCTTTCTTGAGAAATTAGTTACAATAATATTATATCAGAAAACCTAACATTAAATAATTATCTCAGTTAGGGTTTCTATTGCTGTAGCAAAACACCATGACCCTAAAGCAAGTTAGAGAAAAGCGTTGATTGGGCTTACACTTCCACATTGCTATTCATCATTGAAGGAAACCATGTCAGGAACTCAAACAGGGCAAGATCATGGAGACTTGGGCTGACGCAGAGACCATGGAGCGGTGCTGCTTACTGACTTGCTCCTCATGGCTTGCTCAGTCTTTTTCTTACAGAACCCTGGATGACCAGCCTAAGAACGGCACCACCCATCATGGGCTGGGGCCTCCGGCATTGATCAGCAATTGACCTCAAGGAGGCATTTCCTCAACTGAGGTTTCTTCCTCTCTGATGACTCTAGATTGTGTCAGGTTAACACAAAACTGGTCAGTACAATGATAAAGTATCTGTATCTTCTAATACTTTTTCATGCAAATTTCTCAAACACTTCTGAACTACCTTTTCCTATTTCCAGATCACTTAGTGAAGTGCTGCATAAAAAGCAAACCCATGATAAATTCTTCCTGAGCCTGGTATAATAATTAGGGAGCATCAATATCATATTAGCTAAAAATAATATACTATCTATAAAAATAATATACTTTTGCATATAAACTTCCCGTGAAAGTAAGTCAATCAGCCACTTAATGAGAATTTTTCTCTAATTCAAAGTGAAATTCAGAATTATAATTGATAAGCCAAAGGTATTTTATTTTATATATTGATAAGTCATTATGACATAAAATTGACTTTCAGTCTACAATACTGTAAAGAACATGATAGTCCCTCTCTTAACATATTTATTTAATATTCATATTGTTTACTGTTCTGTGTCAGTATCTTTTCTTAATGAGCTGAAACCAAGTATCTTTTTCTGCATTTCCACCAAGTCTGGATACACAAATGAAGTTTTACTGTTTATAGCCAAGGCTTCATAAAGACCTTTTGACCAATCTCAGTTCTGTAGATAACATTTTTTTTCCAGTGTAACAAGAGAAAGATCAGTCCAAACACCTCCCCCCTTCTTTGTGTTAGGGATGTTAGGGACATCCCCTTGTTTAACTGCTGACAGTCTCAATTAGCTAAGCAGTAAACTGCTAAGAGCACATCCTTACATTTTTTTGAGTGGTTGCAAGAATCTATTATTGAATAGGCCTAATTCTCCATTGATATACAGAAGTTGTAAAGAATATTCCACCTCACATAATCTTTTGCTAGTAGGAATTCAATCCCAGGCAGTAAAAACCTTTATGGCCTTCCCAGGAGGCGTTGGGACACAGGTGGCATTCTCATTACCACAGCTGATAAAATGAGAGGCTTGCTTGGGGTCTTTGAGTGAGCCAGTTATTGAGGGAGTAGAATCTAGGTCTCCCTTTGCCTAGTATACAAGAAAAAAGCACAGAATTCCCAGGAGTGTTGCCTGAATCACATGTGCAGGAAATAGAGAGAAATGATGCCCAGGATGCTCATTGCTGAATCCCCATAGCAACCTTCCCTTGCTCCCCTCCCAGCGCACATAAAGTACACCGAAGGGTATCAAACAACATTAAATCTGAATAGTGCCCTTAATTAGGTGGGACCATAATGCTGACTCTCTTACCTCCCACTGTCCAAGCTAGCAGCTCCCCAGTCCTCTCTGGTGCCTAAGCCTGAAAGCAGGACATTGTTGTAGAAACAATCTTTGCCTTTCGTGGGACCATCAAACTTTGATGATGATGGAGTTTGATAGCCATAATGTCAAACTTTATATGGCCATAATCCAAGTTTACAATAATACATTAAGCCATAATGCTACTATTTATATCACCATAAACTCAGTTTTATGGTGATATAAATAGTCATGCTAATGGCATTAACAGCAGCACACAGTGGAATCCCAGCTGCTGAGTGGCGCTTTTACGCTATTAGCATTGCGATTTATGCTATCATAAGCTTAGGTAGTCAAACTTGTTACATATGAATAGACAAAAAAAGATGGATATCCACATCTTATGCCTGAATGGAGGCTTCTATATTAGACACACCCTCTTTACTATAAAGATCCATGTAGCTCTCTCTTTATTGTGCCCCACTTGCGTTGTGTGATATATTTGAAGAAAAAGTCTGTTTTCTGGCATCTTCAGAGCAACATGGAAACACTATTTCAATGTGATAAGAAAATGCAAGTCACAGCTGCTGGGCAAACTTACTGTCTCCTTGGCAGCGCAGAGGACCCACGCTCAGCTTGGCTTCTGAGCCTTGCCGGTCAGTATCTCCAACGACCACCTGGCTCACTGGCAGGTGATCTTTGTAGGATAAGAAGCCAGCATCCTTCCTCCTGAATCACAGGGAGACAGAAAAAACATGAGAGACGGTGTTAGAATTATACCTTCTGTTGTCTCTGATCAATGATGGCATTTTTAGTCATGCTTCAGAAATGTACTGAATAAAATCCCAGATGGAGTTTGCTCTCCTCCCCTGTAAGCACTCAGACCGTGGCTCAGAGTCAATGCTGGCATGGTCATCCAATGGAAAATAGTACTGACATCCTTGTCTCCAGAATCTATACCTAATAAGCCATTGGCTATTTAAGTGGAAATTAGACCAAACCACATACCCCACAGATGCTCACATTTAAAGTTAATGGAAAGTTCAACAAAACCACCTAAATGATAGACCAAATCCCTGTTGAAAATCTTTGCCTCTTTAATTGTTGAAGCAATTTCTTCAGAGACTTTCTTCCCTACTGGGCATCAGCTAAATATGGATTAGCTTTTGTTTTCTGGTCTTTCCTTGTTTACGTGAAGCACTGAAATAGTTCACGGATGTCTCCAGCATAGAGCAGGTGCTCCATCAGTACTTAGCTCTATGGATAATGAGAAGTGGAGCTGAGATTTGAACCCTGTTTGGTTTTCTGCCTAGGTTCATCTGTTTATCCTGCACTTTTCCACCATCTAATTTGATTCCACACCTACTTTGAATTACTTAATTTTTTTATCAATTGTTTGAAAATTTCCCGAATTCATGCAACGTATTTTATCATATACATTCTCCTCTTTTCCCCATAACTCCTCCCAGATCCACCCACATTTTTAATGCCCCTTCCAATTTCATGTTTTTTGTTTTTTGTTTTTTTTATAACCCACTGAATCCAGTCAGTGCTGCTCATAATGTTTTTGGGTGTGGGACCATCTAGTAGAGTGAGGCTGACCCACCATGTTCACACCTGATGTGGGAGTCCCTTTTGTGTGCTGTGATTACCATTAATGAATAAAGAAACTGCATTGGCCTGTTGATAGAACAGAACTTAGGTAGGCGGGGAAGATGGAACTGAATGCTGAGAGAAGAAAGGCTGAGTCAGGGGATGCTGTGGATCCACTGCCAGAGATAGACATGCTGAAACTTTGCTGGTAGGCCACAACCTCATGCTGATATACAAAATACTAGAAATGGGTTAAACTAAGATGTAAGAGTTAGCCAATACGAAGTTAGAGCTAATGGATCAAGCAATGATTTAAATAATACAGTTTCTGTGTGATTATTTTGATTCTGGGTGGCTGGGAACAAATAAGCACCCCCTCCTACAAATTGGCACCCATGTGGCCAACTAAATCCACATACAACCTGAGAGGTCTTGAAAAGGAATTCTACACACAAAAAAAAATTCAGAGTTTAAAACAGCTTCTTGCTGTTTTTGGCGGCTTGCTGCAGGTCCTTTACAAGAGATGTTCCTGATTCAGCCTTAGGAAGAAAGCCACAGCTGTCTTAAAATGCCGGCTTTCTGGGCCACACTGCTTATGAGACCTTTGCCTCTTTTGGGAGACCAAGTATTTGAATGGGGTTTGTGAGCAGTGCACTGAAACCTGCTTGATGGCAACATGGAACCAGCTTTGTGCCTGGAACTGGGGCAGCATGTGCGGCTCAGAGGCACAAGTGGCTCCACCATGCTGGACTATGTGGAGCAAGCAGGTATTACTGTATATGCCATACTAATGGTGCAACTTAAGTTTTAAGAAGTGCTTAGCATTTTAAAAAGCGCTCATGGACATTAAAGAATTACAAATATGCAATAAAGACAAATCCAGAGGAAAAATAACTCTAAACAAGTCAGTTGAATAAATGTACCTAGGCTTGGAAGAGAGAAGAAAAAGAGTATAGTCATAAAATAAAGTTAATGCTTTTTTTTAAAGGTAAGTCTTTAAAGAGACAGAGTACAAAAAGAAAAATAAGCCACGTAAAGACGGAAAATTCACAGAGCGTCTGGATTATGTATATTTTTGTGTTTTCTTTGAATTTTTTGGCTGTGAAGGAGCTAAGTACAGAGAGACATTTCATTGTATGGACTGCTAAGTTAAACCAACATAAAGGTATATTGATTCCAAAATTTGAGTCTAAGGATATGTTGCTTTGGAAAAGAGGGTTTTCTTTTGTTTTCTCAGAAGATGAGAACCTGTGGATTGCTTCCAGATCAGTATAGTATGATGGAACAAGACTCCCTGAAAGGTTGCTGTGAACACCTCCACAAAGAAAATACTTCACCCAATAAACAGCAGGAAACAGTTTGGAGAGAAATAATTATGCCTATATTCCCAAATATTGTCTATAAATGTTTGTTTGTATTTAAAGGGTAATGTGCTATAGAGATTTGCATTGGTATGGATCTTGGTTTATTACAAATTTAAGGTCAATTTTGTTATATTTCTGCTCTTGATTAAGGTATTGTGATTGTGTAGTTCATTTGAAAATGTAATGCATAATTAAGAAATAAAGCTTAATAGATAGTTGTCTATAATAGTCAAGATTGTAGTCATGTTAGTTAGGTTTTCTAGATATATAGAGATATATTTCAGTTAGATAGATATTCTTCAAATCTTTCAGAGAATTTCAGAATATGGCATTTAAAAATGTTTAAATAACTTAGGACTTTTCATGACAATGAGACACATCTGCTCTTGGCAGCACCAAACTACTTCAAGAGGAAGATGGGCATTGAAGAGGCTCCTTGTGGAATTTGCTAGATATTTGGGCAAGAAACTGTTCTTGCCTGGACAGATTAGCTGAACATTCAGGACCCACAGAGAGATGACTGCTGAACTTGCCTAATGGTGAGATAATCCTTCAGGGTTCCTGCTTCATGAAAGAGTCTGCAAGACATTCTGCAGGATACAGAAGAAAGTGACTGAACTGCCTTTAGAGTTTTCTGCTTTGTGGAAAAGTCTGCTAGATGCTATGGGCCAGTAGGTTAAAGATGGATGCCCCAACGGTACAGAACAACTTTGGGTAACTGTCCAGGCAGTGAGATATCTCTGTTAATTGTAGAATTTTGGAAGTTGCTTGCAATGTACTTCCTGTTTACTTAGGTAATGTTATATTTTTCCTGGAGTCTTTGATGGAGTTGAAGAATTTATAGTTATAGTTTTCCTTAGTTGTGATAAAAGATAAAATAGATATAAATATTGTAAGTGTAATTCTTGTTTGGTAACTGCTTTGTTATATGTAATTTTACTATGTTAAAGTTAAAACCTTTCTTTTTATTTAAACAGAAAAGGGGAGGTGATGTGGGAGTCCTCTCTGTGTGCTGTGATTACCATTAATGAATAAAGAAACTGCATTGGCCTGTTGATAGGGCAGAACATAGGTAGGTGGGGAAGATGGAACTGAATGCTGAGAGAAGAAAGGCTGAGTCAGGGGATTCCATGGATCCACCGCCAGAGATAGACATGCTAAAACTTTGCTGGTAGGCCACAACCTCATGCTGATATACAAAATACTAGAAATGGGTTAAACTAAGATGTAAGAGTTAGCCAATACGAAGTTAGAGCTAATGGGTCAAGCAGTGATTTAAATAATACAGTTTCTGTGTGATTATTTTGGTTCTGGGTGACCGGGAATGAACAAGTGTCTCCTCCTACATATAACTTTATTAAAAATTCCTCTATTCTAGTAGTCATTAATGGCCAATGGCTTCTCAAATAGAGGTAAGGACTCATGAGCACACCTTGTCCATTTAACAGTTTTGACTGGCTTTATATTGGTCAGGTCTTATAAAAGCAACTAACAGAACACTGTTGTTAGTGTCCTGTCATGTCCAGAAAACACTGTTACACCTGAATCTTCTTGTTCCTGGTAACCAGGCTTCAAGCCTGCCAGTAGGATTTCTTTTGTGCAAACTTACTTTCCTTTAGCAGAAATTCAAACAGTTAAAGTCACTTCAAACAGGAAGAAAATGCTCTGTTTTTGAAAAGTTATGCATGTGTTCTTGTGTGCATGTACATGTTATATGAAAGGATGCCCACACATGTGTGCAACTGCATTTGAGATTCAAATGTCCATACTAGGTGTCTTATTCCATCAATCTACATCTTATTTTCTGGGACAGACTCTTTCTGAACTTGGAGCTTGCTGATTCAGATAGGCTGGATGACCTGCAAATCTCAGGAATCCTGTCTCAGCCTACTCAGGATTAGAATTAGATATGTGATAATCTGCCCAGATTTTTATGTTGGTACTGGTTATCCAAATTCTGGGGCACATATTCATGCAGTAAAGACATTTCAAATGAGCTATGCTCCTACACCAAAGCCTTAGATAGTAAACTTGATATTTACTCTAAAAGGAACAATAAATGAAGATAGCCTAACTGCACACTTTAATTTGACAGCCTGTTAGAAATGATTCCCATGGACATGGTGCTAATGTCCTTTATGAGTTAATGCCGCTTAGGGTACATCGCTAAACAGCTGCTCCACAAACTATATCCTAAAATCCAAATCCTCTTGCAATCTGCTTTTGTTTGACCCAGAAGTGACTTTGTGGTTGACTTTGCAGTGTCTGGATGGAACATGTAGTATCTTCAGTACACACCAGGTTCCTGAGCAGAATGGGCCACCCTGAGTGAACTCTTAGAGCTTAATTCTTTGGGCTTCTGAAAGATAGAGTGGATAATTTTGTAAATAGGAGACGTGGGCTGTGGAGATGGCTCAGCGTGTAAAGTACATGTCACACATAAAACAAGTCATAAGACTTTTGAGAGGGGCAATCTCCATGACATTGTGTAATAAATGTACACTGATCATGGGACGGGTTTTTACATATGCACATGTAATCCATGTATGATTCACACATCTACTTGTGCAATTGCAACTCAAACCCTAGTTTGGACCTTTAGTGACCCAGAAGCACCTCTCCCACACATTTCCTGTAGTCAATACACACGTTAAAGGTATTTGCTATTTAATTCAAAATATTCAAATATCCAAAATCCTTTGGGTCATACTCTAAATGAAATGTTGTGCTTCACTAGTGAAAATGTAATATCACCGAACAATGGGAATGAGG